GAGTAAACGATAAAAAGGATAACAAAATAACGCTGGAAACTGATAAAAACCCTGAAAACCAGACATTTCACACCTGAGCCTCAACTCTCGTGGCCCGGTACCAAACGACTCACGGACCGGTACCGGTCCGAGGCCCGGGGGTTGGGGACCGCTGATTAAGAGGACCCGAGGGAAGCTCGGAAAGCTGAGCAGAAGTTATTTGGAGAGGAGAGTGACTGCTGTTGTTTGAAAGGAGGTAAAAAAAAAACTTCAGTGGTGTGGAAACATTATGGGTTCAGTCAGACGTGGATCAAGTAGACACAGTGTGTAAACGTTGCTACGGTGTCATAACTGCACCACAGAGCAACACTGCAAAGTTCACTAAACACAGATGTTTACATTTTTCATTTGTTTCTTATATTGCAAACATTTGCACTGTTATCAGTATTTGCACTATTTTATATTATTTTTTGACAATCTTTAAAGTCATTATTCAACACGTTGTTATTGTTAAATACATATCATCAAATAATCGAGATCTCAATTTCAGTGAAAATAATCGTGATTATCATTTTTGCCATAATCGAGCAGCCCTACCTTTCAGCACAGCAGGCTAGAAGTAACAAAAAGGCGTCTTTTTTCATTATAAAGGTAAAGCAGTTCATTTCACCACAAAGACACAGTGCAGGCCGGTTCACAAGGCCGCGACACGACGCTCTTTATTTCATTGGATAAAACGTGGAAAGTCCTGAAGTTTGAATATCACAGCGGAGCAACAAATCTGAAGTGAAACCTTAAGTGCAGAAGGCGGTTGATGGTTTTGGATGCAGTGCAACACAAGAAACAATTAGCTGACTTGTCTTTGGTCTCATTTGTTCATTCAGAAATTGTAGTTCAGGAAAAATCTGCTCCCCTGAGTTATGAAGTCAATAATGTGCAACATCATTCCTTTTATCAGACCCCACGTGTGCTCGTGATGGTAAAAGGGTGCCCGCCAGATTCTCAGTGTTTATCCAGCCCCCCCTGCAGTCGAGCCCTGCACAGATACCATCACACTAATAGACTGCCCATTAAGAGAGTGCAGGAGGAAGGACACAAAGGAGGAGTAAGTGAATGAATGAGTGAGTGAATGAAACACAAGTGAATGACTGTAAGGAGCAGAAAACGTAACACGTTATAAATTACAGGCAACCGTGGCATGTGATCATGGCCAGGAATATGATCAGAATCAGAATCAGAATCAGAATCAGAATCAGAAAGGGTTTATTGCCAGATGTTGAGCAGGTTTACAACATTAGGAAATTGCTGCGGTGCTTCAGTGCAACATACTGTCATAAAAATATAAAATAAGATGATGATGATGATGATGCAGAAATAAAGCTGTGTGTTTAGTATCTGGGCCCATTGTTCTCAGATCTCTGTAAGAACCAGCAGCCTAATTGAATTAGATCGTGGCACGACTCACTGCGATGGCTGGAACAGGGAGCACCAGAGAGCCAGCCAGCTGTTCCCCTTTTCTGTCTCCCCGTACAGGAGCAGACTTGTTTTAATTACAATTATTCCAGGACCAATGACAGATGAAAGGAACGAGAACAAAGGCCCTAACGAGGGGTGAAGGGTCACGGTATCAGAGACGCATTAATGCGCATGTGTTGGTGCGTGCCATTTTGCAACAAGATCCTTTAATTAGTGTACATCCGTCCTGCTGAACTGAACGATAACCGAGTGAAAATGAAAGTGCATTATTCTGTGGCACATTCCTTTGGTGGATCTCTGCAGCAGGAGTGCTGAGTGAGGGAATTCTGTTTGATAAATAAATAAAATTAACCACACGTGACACAGCCTACGCAATCCTGCATCAAACTGTAGCACTCCACGTATTTGCTGGTCATGTGCTGTCACAGATAAGTGATGCAAAGGCCGTGACAGAAGCTTCAAAATGTCTGTTCGGTGCAATGTCTATGTTACACAGCTCTATCAGGTACAGCGTCTAGTGAGAAAGCAGAGCGGGTGAGCAAGTAGTCATAACCCAGTAAACTGGTTCCCTCAGGCGAGGATTCACCCGCCGAATACCAAAAAGCTGCTTTTTATAAAGACTGAGGCAGGAGCGAGACAGCGAGAGAAAAGCAGAGCGAAGCACATCAGGAAACCAAATCCTAATATTTCCCTTTCAACTTACTGGAAATCTTCATTTATAACACTTTCTGATGAGGCTCCATCGAAAAATAGTTTATATGCTGTAATTACATTTAACATTATTAATTAACTAGGCCTTTATAGATGAGTTATAAGCTACAAATTAAAAGCAACGTTTCTGCTGTCAGGGAAAATCCTCCTCCAACATTAAAATGATGAAGGTTTAATGTTGGGCTTGACATTACAATGACTGCAATTCATTGTTAGCTACTCTACACAAGGAATGTCAACAAATGTGCTGCTCAGATACTAAGCAACAGTAAATATTAGTATCAGCTGAAGACTCGAAACACTGATGAAGTCTTTCTGGAGGTCAGTAGAGCTCCGGTGTCAACGACAGTCAAGTTTGAGACACTTACTATAAATATTAACCCCACACAAGTTAATGTTAGGAGTTTAACACGTAGCAACTACCAGGCAGTAATATTAGCCTTCTATTATTATTATTATGGTAGCAGCTAGTGCTCATGAGTAACATTACTGTGTTATCTATGTAGCAAAGCTTACCGAGGCTATTTCATCAGCGTTCAAAATATGGAGCCAAGTCACCAGAAGCACAACATCAGCTTCAATCTAAAAATACTGTCTCTTATTTTTTGCATCACTGAAGAGAATCTTAAAATATTTCCAATATAAACAACATAAAGTTAAATTGCAGAACTTTTCTTGCACTACATCAGCACGGGACACCACACTTTAACTTACAATAAGCGGTGTAATTGTATCTGGGTTTCATGCACATTTAGACTTTATTTCAGATGTTAAAAATGCAACGAATACATAATTTGGCCTTGCTAAATATAGTTGGCTCATTTTCAGTATTCTGATCACTGATTATGTGATAGCAACCAAACGATCTCTATCAGCTGGTCTGTGTGCTGCACACATGTGACGCTGCCATCATGGACGTGACAGCAAGAAAGCAGATGGTGGGTTGACTTCTCGCTCCTCGTGTGCACGTGGAAAGACTGAAATCTGGTCCTGGTGTTAAAGCCGCCACAGCCTTAAAATGCTTTTATATTAAATCATTAAAACAAAAAGCTATAAAAGTCCAGTCGGTCTATTTCTTCTGATGTCTTCAGGCCCCAGTCTGAACTAAATCACATCTGAAAGTTTTCAGTACAGGAGATGTGATGAAAAAGTGCTACGATAAGCTTTTATTTTATAACACATCCTAATATTGTTTCTGTTATGAAAAGTCAACGGCCACAGGAGAGCGTGCTTTTCAGGGCTCAATAATGCCATTTGTCTCCGCCGCCATTTTCATTATGGGCTCTCTGGCTTTCCCAGCAAAAACTACTCTGCTACAGACTTTGACTCTCGCACACATCACACTCCCTTCTCTGCACGTGCTCGCTGCAAAAATGAGCGAGGAGAAGACAAATCGCTCTGATCGAGCAGGGAACTCTGTCACACTGATGGCAGAATACGACTTTGAACTGATCGATCGAGCCCGTCGCTTTTCATAAGACATGCTCACCTATCTTGCGTCAAGTTGACAGAGGCAGAGCGCAGTGACCCATGAGTACAGCTCAGACCTGAGACAGGAAATAATTCATCATCCACATCGAGGCTTAGCCGAGGAGACGCTCTTAAAGGGAGAGTCTGAGCTTGACTGCTAACAAGCAGGCAATATCACTAAATTCAAGAATATTCACACGAACACAGGAACTACTTTATGTAGTTTTAAATAGAATTCTTATTAGTATTATAAATAATAAATGTCCAGAAATGAGTCAAAAATAAAGTCAACAAATATCTCAGATTGATTTTTGAGTCTGACGCTGACAGAGATGGAGCGCTCTCATCATTGCAGTCTCAGCGCCTGTTACATCTTTGTCATTCACAGATAGCCAAACTCACATCCACACCAAACCCACTCAGCAGGAACACAGCAAAACACAGAAAAAGAAAAAGTCTCTACACGGGCTTGCGCGCGAGCTGCACCCAAACCCTGAATCTACTTCAGCCGCATCATAAAACTCGGATGTTCCCCAAATGAAAATCTGAGTTTTCCTTCCATGTTTTTCACCTCGTTGCCCCACCTGAATTGCCTCAGCGATCCACCAGCGGGGCTCGCCCCACAGTTTAATAACCACAGCTCTCACAAGTGTTTCGTGTCACATCATTAGGTACACCCAAACCCTGCAACTGAAGAAAGTTGTTTACGCCACAAACTGGTGTCTAAAATAAAAACAAATGGTTTACATTCTTTCCCACACTACACACACACTCTGAGGCCAAAGAGTAATTATAGCTGGCAGCCTTCCTGCTATTTGGTGCACTGAGTGCCGCTGGCCTTCTCAGTTCTGGTCTTCCTTGTTAACCATCGTTGCTTAGGATTTTTAGGGTGTTTGAACGCTCTCTGTTTACATTACATGAACATAAAACAAACAGTAAAAATGCTTCATTTACTCCTCAGCCCTCTTCTCTTTGCATGTGTTTATTACTTTAAGCAGGTTAGCTTAAAGTTAAGTCCCAGACTGAAGTGAGTGGCAGCGTGTTAGCTGTGATTTACACCTATTTTTAGCAGGGCTGTTATTCTGGTGATGCCCAAAAAGGGGGTACATAAGTGTGTGTCTGGGAGTGTGTTTTCCTCTGTCTGTGTGTCTGGATTTCTTTATCCACATAAGGAGCTTCCTTACCTTCTGTAGATGGAGCTTGGTCCTGGGCAGCATATAGCATATCCTTGAATGCCTGATGAGGAAGAAGAGAAAACAAATATGAGTGTCTGCAAACAACAAAAACAAAAAGCGGCTTTGAGCAAAAGACATTCACAATTTCACAGAGCCTGTGATTTCACAGAGAGGGCTGCACATGTGCAAAGTGACTGTGGTTTGATTTAGATGGGACGATAAACAGCTAATTGCTTGAATTAGCTCATTATCTAAAATCCCATCAGTTGTAAAGGTGTGTTTACAGTAGATAAATGGGGTGATTAGAATAAACCACAAGGTGCCAGAAAATTGTTAGAAACATCTGCATACAGAGAAGGACCTTAAAAAGGACTTCAAGAGCTATTAACTAAATTACAGTAAAGACCAGGCAGCTGTTAACATTATAGACAAAGTCTGCACAGCATAAGCTTCATTTTAAAACGCCCGCTTGTTACTACATTGTTGTGTTTGGTACACTGAGCACTGTGAAATCATGTGATTATACATGAAAACATAAAAACACATACAAACCCCGAACCAAAGGGATATGAGTATGCCCCACCCTGCCCACTGCCTCTCACATAGTCCAGCCCGGCTCCAGGAAAAGTTTTCTTGAAAGATGGATGAATACAAAAGAATGACTCGGTGGACAGAGCACAGGTAGCACCTTTTATCCAAGGGTTCAGAAGAAACCCACGCACTATCACAGAGGTCTGTGCGTCCTGTGACCACCATGCTCTCTTCTGAACATGCAAAACCTGCACAAAAACATTCAAATCATTCGGAGCCTTTCACATTTACCCTTTCTGAAGCCCTCGCTGCACTCAACAAGACTTACTGATGCTTATTGTCTCTAGCACGTATATTGATCTCCCTTTAGCCCATCAAAGAGACTCATTACAGAACGAAAGCAGTGCTCTTAGGTGAGCCTAACTAGATCTAGTCAGTATATCTGAGCCTCACCCACTAACTTGGGCTCATTCCCAACCAGAGAGGTGACATTCCACGTCCCTGTGGCCAAACTTGTCAACTGGGAATTGGATGCCAGGACCTCTGCTCCTGACTGGCACCTGATCCACATAGCACTAAAAGCTATGGCCCCTTCTGCAGGTATTGAGCCCACCGGAGGGCAGAAGCTGGGCCCAAGACCCAATTTGGAGCAAATTAGCCCCGACTATACAGATACTGGGATAATCAAGCAAACCCCATACACAACAAAGAGGCAATTCACAGAGAGACAGTGGTAGCATAAAACATAATTGCCCTATGACTATATTATAATGTGACAATTTATGAAATAAATAATTAAAGGAATAGCAGATTGACAAAAGCTGAGAGACAAACTGGCAGATACAAAGCAGAGATAGCAGCTGTGGTTAAACGGGGTCGCTCCTTTTCAGCGAGACTGATCGTGAAGATAATGGAAACAGACGACTGCATGCTGGCTCGTTTGGACATTTCCTCATAACTTTTTTCACAATAAGGACATCTTTGTAACCAAACTGCTCCAGAATAAGAGGAAAAAAGGAAATTATAATTTTGGACTTTTCTTTTAAAAAAAATTTTAATTAATTGTGAAGTAAAATCTAAGCTTTGCACCAAATTTCATGTTTCAGGTAAAACATAGGTGCCAATATATGTGCTGTCATTATCATCTCTGTCTGGGGTCAACATGGGAGAGACAGAGAGGACTGTGAGGACTCCTGAGTGTGTGTGTGTGTGTGTGTGTGTGTGTGTGTGTGTGTGTGTGTGTGTGTGTG